CTTAACTTGATTCAAAATTGTAAAAATGTACAGTCTTGTTTGTACAATTTTTGTTTGAATTGTAAAAAAAAATGTTTAGCATTGTAAGTACATGATTTTTCTTGTACAGGCAATTGCATATTTTCAAATGTTATGGGTGAATGTTATGAACAAATAGCCCAAAGTACAAAGAAATTTTAAGATGCAAGAAACTGTATAACAACGGGACAGTGTTTGGACAATAAAAAAAGCATGAATGCATTTCTGTGTTATTTTGTATTTTACTATTTGAAATTTATATTGTGTATGAAATTAAGAAGTTATTGAAATTAAGCGTTTTGGACCTGTAATAAAGAAGCTGGCTAGGTATAGTTTCCCCCACCTTTTTGAAGGAAAAAGGGCCTTGGGGGATATAGAAATAGGGTCCGTTCCTCACATTTTTGTGTCGAGGCCATAACTATATCATTTATCAAAGGAATTTGAAATATTTTGGCACAAATGTTGTTGAAATAAGACGATGTGTCATGCGCAACAACCAGACCCCTACCTCCAGGGTCAAGGTCGCACTTGCTCATTCAACGTCAACCTAGTCTATTTGAGCCCGAGGGTATATGTCGTGTCCGGTCCATAATGTTCTTATCTTTGAAGGGATTTTGTAAATACTTGCCACAATTGTTCACAATAATAAGACGATGTGTCATGCGCAATAACCGGTCACCTACCGTCAAGGTCACACTTGGAGGTCAAAGATTAACATAGTCTGTTATAGGGTATATTTTGTGTCCGGTTCATAACTTTTTCAGAGATTAAAGGATTTTGAAAATAGTTGGCACAAATAGTCACTATAATAAGGCAATGTGTCGTGCGCAACACCTGCATTTCTACCTCCAAGGTCAATGTCACACTTAAAGGTCAAAAAATTAACATAGTCTGTTATATGGTATATTTTGTGTCCGATCTAGAACTTCTTCATAGGTCAAGGGATTTTAAAATAACTTGGCACAAATAGTCACAATAATAAGACGATATGTCAAGTTCAATACCTGCACCCCTACCTCCAAGGTCAAGGCCACTCTTAGAGGTCAAAGATTTACATAGTCTGTTATAGGGTATATTTTGTGTCCAGTCAATAACTTTTTCATAGATCAAGAGATTTTAAAAAATACTTCGCACAAATAATAAGACGATATGTCAGGCGCAAATCATGGGCCCCTACCTCCAAGGTCACTCTTAGAGGTCAAAGATTAACGTAGTCTGTTATAGGGTATATTTTGTGTCTGATCAATAAATTCTTATAGTTAAAGGGGTTTTGAAAATACTTGTCACAAATAGTTACAATAATAAGACAATATGTCATGCACAACACCTGCACCCTTACCTCCTTTTGTCATCACTCTGCGTCCGTAGTGCGTTGTGCGTCCTTCAAAAAATGGCGTCAAACTTTTCAATCAACATCTCCTAAACCACATGGCCAATTGCAACCAAACTTTACAGAAATCATCCTTAGGTGGACCCCTTTCAAAGTTGTTCAAAAATTTAAATTCCATTAAAAACTCTGGTTGCCATGGCAACCAATAGGAAAAACTTAAAAAATCTTCTTTTTAAAAAACCCTAAGAGCTAGAGCTTAGATATTTGGCATGAAACATCTTCTAATGAGTGTCTACCAAGTTTGTTCAAATAAAAGCCCTAGGGTCAAAATTGGCCCCGCCCCAGGGGGTCATTGATTTTCCTTAAAGCATATAGTAAAAACTTAAAAAATCTTCTTTCAAAGAGCTAGAGCTAAGATATTTAGCATTGAACATTTTCTAATGGGTGTCTACCAAGTTTGTTCAAATAAAAGCCCTGGGGTCAAAATTGGCCCCACCCCGGGGGTCATAGATTTTCCTTATATGTGTATAGCAAAAACTTAAAAAATCTTCTTTGAAAAAAACCCAAATAGCTGGAGTTTAGATATTAAGCATGAAACATCTTCTAGTGAGTGTCTACCAAGTTTGTTCAAATAAAAGCCCTTGGGTCAAAATTGGTCCCGCCCCAGGAGGTCTTTGATTTTCCCTATATGCATATAGTAAAAACTTAAAAATCTTCTTTTAAAGAACCCAAAGAGCTAGAGCTAAGATATTTAGCATGAAACATCTTCTAGTGAGTGTCTACCAAGTTTGTTTAAATAAAAGCCCTAGGGTCAAAATTGGCCCCGCCCCAGGGGTTCATTGATTTTCCCTATATGCATATAGTAAAAACTTAAAAAATCTTCTTTTAAAGAACCCAAAGAGCTAGAGCTAAGATATTTAGCATGAAACATTTTCTAATGGGTGACTACCAAGTTTGTTCAAATAAAAGCCCTGGGGTCAAAATTGGCCCCGTCCCAGGGGGTCATTGATTTTCCTTATATCATTTTATGTGTATAGCAAAAACTTAAAAAATCTTCTTTGAAAAAACCCAAATAGCTGGAGTTTAGATATTAAGCATGAAACATCTTCTAGTGAGTGTCTACCAAGTTTGTTCAAATAAAAGCCCTAGGGTCAAAATTGGCCCCACCCCAGGGGGTCATTGATTTTCCCTATATGCATATATTAAAAACTTAAAAAATCTTCTTTTAAAGAACTCAAAGAGTTAGAGCTAAGATATTTAGCATGAAACATGTTCTAATGGGTGTCTACAAAGTTTGTTCAAATAAAAGCCCTGGGGTCAAAATTGGCCCCGTCCCGGGGGTCATTGATTTTCCTTATATGTGTATAGCAAACACTTAAAAAATCTTTTTTCAAAAACCCAAATCGCTGGAGTTTAGATATTAAGCATGAAACATCTTCTAGTGAGTGTCTACAAAGTTTGTTCAAATAAAAGCCCTGGGGTCAAAATTGGCCCCGCCATGGGTGTCATTGATTTTCCATGTATGTGTATAGCAAAAACTTAAAAATCTTCTTAGAAAAAAACCCATATAGCTAGAGTTTAGATATTAAGCATGAAACATCTTCTAGTAAGTGTCTACAAAGTTTGTTCAAATAAAAGCCCTGGGGTCAAAATTGGCCCCGCCCCAGGGGTGTCATTGACTTTAACTATATGTGTATAGTAACTAGAACTATCACTAAATGCGATTAATACCCCCACAAGACTGCTTCGGAAATGAGGATGTTACTAGTAACAGAATACCTTGTAAAAGAATTGAAATTTAGAGTTATGGTTGTGGGCGTTCTTGTACGTTGTATTTCCTTTCAATGTGGTTGGCCATTGATGAAATTTAATTGAATTACTCTGTAATAAGTCCAGAAAAATAAAAAAAGAACAAAGGGAAATAACTCTATAAATACTGAAGATAGAGTTATAGTTCTTGTGCACTGCACTTCCTCTTATTGTGCTTGACCATTGTATGAAGTTGTTTTGAATTCCAACCAGTATGTTTTAAGTTATGCTCCGGACAAGAAAAAGTACCAAAGGGCAGTAACTCTGTATTTTGTCAAAATGGAGTGATGGCTCTTGTGCACTGCACTTCCTCTGAATGTCCTTGACAACTGTATGAAGTTGTACTGAATTCCAAACAGTAGTTTTCAAGTTATGCTCTGGACAAGGAAATAGTAATAAAGGGCAATAGCTCTGTAATTAGTCAAGATGGAGTTATGGTTCTTGTGCACTTGACTTCCTCTCAATGTGCTTGACCATTGTATAAAGTTATATTGAATTCCAACCATTAGTCTTCAAGTTATGCTCCGGACAAAAAAGCAATGGAAAAGTAACAAAGGGCAATTACTCTGTAATTAGTCAAGATGGAGTTATGGTTCTTGTGCACTGCACTTCCCCTTATTGTGCTTGACCATTGTATGAAGTTGATTTGAATTCCAGCCAGTAGTTTTCAAGTCATGCTCTGGACAAGGAAAAGTAACAAAGGGCAGTAACTCTGTAATTAGTCAAGATGGAGTTATGGTTCTAATGCACTGCACTTCCTCTCAATGTGCTTGACCATTGTATGAAGTTATATTGAATTCCAACAATTAGTCTTCAAGTTATGCTCCAGACAAAAAAAGCAATGGAAAAGTAACAAAGGGCAATAACTCTGTAATTAGTCAACATGGAGTTATGGTTCTTGTGCACTGCACTTCCCCTTATTGTGCTTGACCATTGTATGAAGTTGTTTTTAATTCCAACCAGAAGTTTTTAAGTCATGCTCTGGACAAGGAAAAGTAACAAAGGGCAGTAAGTCTGTAATAAGTCAAGATGGAGTTATGGTTCTTGTGCACTGCACATCCTGTCAATGTGCTGGACCATTGTATGAAGTTATAATGAATTCCAACAATTAGTCACCAAGTTATGGTCCGGACAAAAGAAAGCAATGGAAAAGTAACAAAGGGCAATAACTCTGTAATTACTTTAGATAGAGTTATGGTTCTTATGCACTGCACTTTCTCTCAATGTATGTAGTTATATTGAATTCCGACCATTAGTCTTCAAGTTATGGTCCGTGACAAAAAAAAGCAATGGAAAAGCAACAAAGGGCAATAACTCTGTAATTACTTTAGATAGAGTTATGGTTCTTATGCACTGCACTTCCTCTCAATGTGCTTGACTATTGTATGTAGTTATATTGAATTCCAACCATTAGTCTTCAAGTTATGGTCCGGACAAAAAAAAAGCAATGGAAAAGCAACAAAGGGCAATAACTCTGTAATTACTTTAGATAGAGTTCTGGTTCTTGTGCACTGCACTTCCCCTTATTGTGTTTGACAATTGCATGAAGTTGTTTTGAATTCCAACCAGTAGTTTTCAAGTTATGCCCTGGACAAGGAAAAGTAACAAAGGGCAATAACTCTGTAATAAGTCAAGATAGAATTATGTTTCTTGTGCACTGCACTTCCTCTCAATGTGCTTGACCATTGTATGTAGTTATATTGAATTCCAACCATTAGTCTTCAAGTTATGCTCCGGACCACAAGCAGGAGTATCGGACCTGGGATGAAAATATATGACCAGATTGATAATAAAACCTGTGTTAATCTTAAAAGTGTCAAAAATCAAAAAAAAAAATCACGTATTGAGCATTTGTAAGTGCAGAATTGGTAATTGTCCAATTTATGAACACCGACAGAAGGGATCGGCAGGTGGGTGGAGAAAAGCTAGACGGGTGATTGAGTTCGACGATTTAGTTAGAAATTTAGCTCACTGCAAGGAATGTCGTCTTGGACCTTTATTCTCACAAGCGACAACATTGTGGGGGAGCTGCAAAATGGCTTGGGTGGCTATCTGTACGTTATGTGTTCGAATTTAGAGTGAGGAGCTGTAAATTTGGTTTCATATGGAACAACACACCACAACAAAACGAAGGGGATGTCCTGCTTTGAAATAAACACAAAGCTTTGATTTGGTAATTATTATTTTTATTTGAAACAAATTTAGATATTTTAGAATGTTAATCAGCCAGGCCCCGAGGCACTAGATAATGACAAAGTAATTTGAGCCGTGTCGCGACAAACCCAACATAATGGGTTTGCGACCAGCATGGATCCAGACCAGCCTGCGCATCCGCACAGTCTGATCAGGATCCATGCTGTTCGCTTACAACCCCTATAAAAAGTAGACAAACTGATAGCCAACAGCATGGATCCTGATCATACTGCGCGGATGCGCAGGCCGGTCTAGATCCATGCTGGTCGCAATTTAAACCCATTATGTTGGTTTTGTCGTGACACGGCTCATTTCAATAATTGTAACTTGTAAATATCACAGAATTTACACCGGTTCACAAAAAACTGTTTTATTATAGGTAAATTTAATTCTGTCGATATCTCGCCATAATATAAATTGCCGAATAACATCATTAAAATCAATTAATAGAAATATGTATGTTCATTATTTGTGAAAATGTATCGATAATAAGAAGTGCAATTAAGTAACTGGCTGAAAATGTCATAAGAAATGTGAGTAACTGACTGAAAATTTAATAAGATACTAGATAGATAGATAGTTTATTCATATAAGACGTGTACAAAATGCACATGGTCACAAAATACATATTTTCAAATATAATTAAACATCACGTAATCATCAAAGTAAACATTATTTAGTAGCAAAGTGTCATACAATGATACAACTACATCTTTGGACTGTATTAACAAAAAGAAGTGCAAGCATTGCATTTATTTTTCATTGAAAAAATGCTGTACGGCTAGCCTAAACAGTGCATATATGCTAGTCATCTGTGACTCACAGCTAGAAATTTTGGCTAGCAGTACGGGCCTGTACGACTGGCTACCTCCAATGTAAAAATACAATATATGTAACACTTCTCTCTCAATTTTAATTTTCTCTTCAGCTAAACTGGAGATATGCAGCTTTAATGTCTTAGAATACTCTACTTCACACATGACAGTAGGCTCATGTTAGTGAACTCAGTGATTTTAATATTTATAAAATCTTATTCATGTGCTAGAAAATAAAAATTTCAAGCATTACTCAACAGTTAAAAGGTAATTAAGTATTTAAAAAATTATCATTTAAGGTTTATGCACATACACCATCTAATTTGAACAATGATTGTAACTGCTTTTTTTCCTGTCATATTTACAGCAATGATTGACAGCATTGATCTTAAGCTGATAAGCCTAGAAAATCTGAAGGAAATGGAGAGAAGGGCTGGTGAAGTGATAGAAGCTGTCTCATCAGAATCACAGAGACGGTCAGCTGAAGAGGCTTACAAATAAAGAAATGGAGTATGTAATTAACTTGTTACCACAAAACATTTTTACATCTCTTTAATTGAGAATTAAGTACATGTATCTAAAAAATATTTATGCCATTTAAATAACAAGCCATTGTAGACTATTGTCAAAATTGTTTTACTCCTTAATACCAAAAATAATTTACCACTTCTGAGTTAAACACATTAAGTGTATAAAATATATTTATAGTCTTTTCAATACATGTGCCATCATTCATGTTAAACATTTTCCACCACAGGGACTGCTGAGGTTTAAACTTTTTCAATGTTTATGTTATATACAGTGTCCGCTCTGTAACTTTCATATACATTAAAGTTTCAATTTTTATTTAAAAATATAAAATCACCATAGATGAACAATGTGTTGTGAACAAGACACAGGTTTCTTTGTCTCACTTAAAGGTCACTGCTGGGGTTCGAACTTTGTCAATTTTTATCACCACACTTAACATGTAATATAGGTGGTTTATAACTAGAATCCTTGGGGGGCATTTGTCACTTTCTGTGACAGCTCTTGTTTTTTTATGTTTGAAGGTGTGTTTATCATTTATTTGCATGCAGCACTAGATTCAGAAGCATTTTTCTTCTGCAGAAAAAAATAAAATAAGACTCTCATTGTGATCATTATAATAAGTCTAAGTAATACACATGCTATACTTAATTTTGTATGGTAATAACTGTAAGATACAAGGTGCTAGATGTTTAAGTCATGGATAAGGATCTTAAAACCCTTCAGAACATTATATTATTTGCAAGCTTTTCCTTTCACTTCCAAGCACTGTGTATAAAAGCTATCTATATAATATGATCATGATGTGACAATTTTAGGTATTGGTCATACAGCAGACCCAGATATACAGACCTTACCAGATGCAGTTTCTAAGGGAAAGTTCAAGCCAGTAAAGACAGAAAATCCTACATTTATAACATTTGATTTGGAAACTACAGATCTAAGTGAGTTGACATTTGCTTTCCTAAAACCAGATTTTGAATATAGAAAAGAGATAAAAGTTATATGTCACATTTCTAAACTGTGTAAAGTATTGAAATAATCATTATTCCAATTTCATGCTAAATTTCTGGAGAGTAACAGTATGTAATCCTATAATTTATTTTCTAATGCATAAAGTAATTGTGCAGACAGGGTAACAGTTTTCACCATTGCAATATGCTAGCCTATATGGGTACATCTTTTGTCGATCACTTTATAGTACAATATCAATATATTTATTGCAGTTCGAGGTTCACAGATGCCAGATGCCACATATAACACAGATTGCAGCTAAAGAAATTAAGACTGCTGCTTCATTTAATCAATATTTAATTCCTCCAATGCCAATAGCAGTAGAACCTCAACGAATAACTGGCATAAAATTCACTGATGATGGTTATATGACAAATTCACTGATGATGGTTATATGACTGTACATTATCATAGTGAACATGTTAATAAATGTACATGAATCTTTAGATAATAAAATAAATAAATACAAGGGATGATCTTGGATTTGCATGTAAGATCAAAATGTATTTCATAAAGTTAACGTCAGATGTAACATTTTTATTAGTGGCATAGCCATGAGTTTTAGTATAAAAGCTAATGCTAATGAGTAGAATACACATACCCATCGATACTAGTATAATTTTATCTAACATGTGAAGTACCGGTAAACAATATTTATGTTTATTCTGTGACTCTGTGACTGTTTAGTCATTTTATTGCTTTTTACATGATAGGGTCATTTAAATTTATTGTGAAATGGAAGTTTCGTCCGTTATGAGCAACCAGAACTGGATCGGGAACTTCCTGATGTCATCAAATCATGACATCATAATGTTCATGTTAAAAATATTTGTGTTAAAAGTAAATCTATAACAGTATCAAGATTTTGAGAATGTGATGTATGCAAATTTATAATATACTAACTTCATAAAAATGGTATTGTATATGACTGTGCATATATTTAGATCTGATGTCATTTCTGTTATACAAACATAAAGACACCATAAATGTTAGAGTTACATTTAAGGCGCATCAATGGAGATTTTTTTTTTTTTTTATTTTAAACAGTCTTTATTTTGTGCATGTGATACATAGAATATTATATTTATGTAGGTTCGTTACTGCATTGATTCAATTCGTTGAATGTAATAATAATTTGCTCACCAGTACTAAATTCAGTATTGAACATTGAACACTCCTTCAATATCCTCTATATATCAGCTTTTGTGTTATTATGTTCTGATATTTTGGAAGTGAAATTATTTAAATATTATTTCAATATTTTACTGAGAGGATGCAATGAATTCAAGTAGTTTCTTGTGATGAAATAGTTATAATTGTAATAAATTTCAATAATTTTCCTGTTAGATTTTGGAAGTTAAGCAATGAAATTTTTGAGAATGTGAACATGACAAATATTATAAAACAATATTTGAATATTTCATTTTAATGACTGTACATTTATTAAGATAGCCTCTGTTTAGAAAAACACATAAATAATCATATTTTACAAAATCTGCTGTTTTCCAAGAGAAAAGTAAGACAGGTAACAGCTATGCTGTACATTTTTGTTTCGGAAATTTTTTTACATCATTTTGTAAAGCACATTTTTGTCAAAAAAGTAATGTGGAAAGAGGTCATGTAATTTCTATATTTTGATTGCTATGGAAGAGTAATAAAAGTTATAGAAGTAATTTGATTACCCCAATTCAAATATTAAAAAAAATAATAATAATAATTCTTATTTTATATCTATGTTTTTTTTAAGTTTCAGAAATCTTGGATGAGGTTTTAGTCAATTGGCTGAAATCAATACATTTTGTGAACAGTTTATTGTTATTTTGTTATCATAATATATGTCTTGAAACATAATAAACACTTACATTGTAGGTAAAAGCTGCAAAATTTTTTTTTCATATATATTCCTTACCCCTACCCCCACTGTTTTGGGGGCAATTTAGTGGGAGGGGGTATTCACATAAAAATGCTTATAATTTGAAAACTTGATGGTAAATGTCTTTGAAAAGTTGCAATTGAATAAGTTAAATAGAGTACTTTGATAAAATAATAAGCTTGATCAGGTTCCTAAATATACCCATTACAGGTATCTTACCTTAAAATATACTATAAGTTAAGAGAAGGCCGGAAACTCCAGATTCGAGCCTACGAGCAAGGGATTCATTTCCCTTTACATTTACATTTACACGGTCTTTCAATCGCTTTCTACGCCATTATGCATCCTTGTGTGAAACGTTGCGGTTTCGTTGCTATTGGCCAATCAGAAGACTCGTTACAAAATATCGAACAGCTGATTGACAATGGCGTTGAAAGGAATCTAAATACCGTGGAAAGGTTTGAAATTCGAATTTTACGTGTATCAGATGCTACTGACGGGTGTGAGTGGTCCAACTTAATGTATTTAGTAATATTATATAGTAAATTCAAGTGATTTTGACCCGTACTCAGCTGACAAACATGTATTAGTCTATGTTTACGTACCGAATCGTTTAGCCGCAATTCTGTCTACCAACGATTTTTAGCACGAATTCGCTCGTTTCCTGATAGATATTTCATGAACGGGAAGGGCTAGAGACTTGGGGTCGGTCTCATTTGGAAGCTTAATACAAACGTGAAATAGTGATAAAAGTCTTTCTTAATTGTCTGGCCAATTGTTTTCACAACGGCTCGGGAAATGAATCCCTTGCTCGTAGGCTCGAATCTGGAGTTTCCGGCCTTCTCTTAACTTATAGTATATTTTAAAGGGGGTCATTTTTTACAATTTTTTTTTTTTGGTTTTTGACACTTTTAAGATGAACACAGGTTTTATTATCAATCTGGTCATATATTTTCATCCCAGGTCCGATACTCCTGCCTGTGCTCCGGACAAGGAAAATGCAACGGACAAAAAAAAGCAATGGAAAAGCAACAAAGGGCAATAACTCTGTAATTACTTTAGATAGAGTTCTGGTTCTTGTGCACTGCACTTCCCCTTATTGTGTTTGACAATTGTATGAATTTGTTTTGAATTCCAACCAGTAGTTTTCAAGTTATGCCCCGGACAAGGAAAAGTAACAAAGGGCAATAACTCTGTAATTAGTCAAGATAGAGTTATGGTTCTTGTGCACTGCACTTCCTCTCAATGTGCTTGACCATTGTATGTAGTTATATTGAATTCCAACCATTAGTCTTCAAGTTATGCTCCGGACAAGGAAAATGCAATGGACGTCTGGACCGACCGACCGACCACCGGGTGACTCCTATATACCCCCCCCCCAAACTTCGTTTTTGGGGGTATAAAAACTTAAAAAAATCTTCTTTTAAAAAACCCAATGAGCTAGAGCTTAGATGTTTAGCATGAAACATCTTCTTATTGGTGTCTACTAAGTTTGTTCAAATAAAAGCCCCTGGATTAAAATTGGCCCTGACGGGGGGGGGGGGGAGTAGATCATTGTTTTTTATTATATGTGTGTAGTAAAAACTTAACATTGTGAAACATCTTCTAATGGGTGTCTTCTAAGTTTGTTCAAATAAAAGCCCTGGGGTTTAAACTGGCCCCGCTCCGGGTGCCTTTATACAGGTGAGCGACCTCAGGACCATCATGGCCCTCTTGTTTAATTTCGTGTTTCATTTATTTCTGTTGCATTTGCAGATCTAGACTTCATCATAATTTTGGACTGAAAGTCCTGAGATCCATACCACTATCTTGAAATAGTACAATTTTATCCTGCATATAAAACTTCCCTGTTGGTAACTCTGTTACAAATTCTTGTTCTGAATGTTTTGAGATAATTATTCGTCCATACACCCCGCTATCCCTCAGAACTGATTCATGACACGCCACTTACTTTGCACGACAACGCCACGTGCCATAAGATGAATAATGTCTCGGCTGACGTCATTCATTAACCCTGTTTACTGTACAGGGTTCGTACAGTCTTAAAAAGTGCTTAAATTTGAGTCTCTTTCAAAAATGTAAAAAAGTGCTTAAAAGTCCTTGAATTGAATAGTGCTTAAAAACTGCCTAAATTTGCTAAAAATGTGCTTGAAAATGTTTGAATCACAGAATGACGTAGTTTTGATAAAAATCAACGGTTAACAAAAAAAAAGATCCAATTTAGTATCAAAATCAATGAAATGTTTACTCAAGGTAACAGGAAGTGGACAAATTGCAGTTGTTTTAAACTAATCTGTACTTGATGCACCCTTAGTTGTTCTTCTATGTCAGAAAATGTGTATTCAACAAAAAATGGTGAACAAACTATCCATCATAGGTTGAAGATTGTGTCGGTATATTTGCAACAAATGTGCTTCAAAAATGGGAAAACGTGCTTAAGTAGTGCTTAAAAAGTCCTTGAATTTTGGCATTGGATGTCTGTACGAACCCTGCTACAGTTACACCGGACTTGAGCTATACGACTTTGATTTGTTTCCAAATCTAAATGAAATCTGTAAAGGAATTTGTAACGGTGATTTAGATGAACTCGGTGGTGCGGGACATCCACATGCGTTGCCAAGCAACCGGCATTTTGGCGTTGCCGCAGAGATGCGTGTCTACCAAACGACATTCAAAAAATTATATTGAAATTACGTAACATCAAAAACATCAAACTGTGAGTGAAACACAAATCAAGGACTGACCCTCGCACGAAAAACGCATTGAAATTATTTTTTGAAAGAAATTAAGCATAAAGCTGCGACTGTAGTCGACTTTGTTATAATTTTTTTTCTGAAAGTTACTTTAAAATATACTTTATATAATTATTATATAATTTTCCGTTATCTAGTTTCCTCGCGTCCCAGGTGGAATTTAAACTGTGGCGAAGGACAAGTGGTTTGACGTCAGCGACCTGAACCACTCGGCCACGTAGGTCTTTTTAGCATTACCTTGTGGTCTTAGGCAAATGTTAAATAAATCATACATATAGGTATAAACTGGTCATCCACGATGGTCACTTAATTTACCTGGACTTATAATTATATGAAACACAATACTTGTCGAAAACTATACATGTACTGGAGCTTTAATATTAAGCATGTAGCATTTCCATATAAACCTCAACAACATGACCGAAGAGTCGCCTGGACTTGTGTTGAAAATAAATACCTTTCTTTGCTAGCACATGGTATTGAATATCAATGTGACCAAATGACTTATCTCTGCATTGGCTATCACTATCAAGGTTTGGGTTTTTTTTAACCAGGTTTTCCGAAGGAAAAAACTGGTTATTAGATTGAGGTATGTCGGCGGGCGGATGGGCGGGCGGACGGGCGGGGGGCGGGCGGGCGTAAACAATTTCTTCTGTGCGCAACTCCTCCTACATTTCTCAACGGATTTTGACCAAACTTTCACAGAAGCTTTGTCATCAAGTGCCCTGGCGCATATTGTCGGGGTTTTGCGATTAGATAATATTTGACCTAATTATGGCCCTTTGTTTTTTTTCCTTATATAAAATATATAGTGAACAATTTCTTCTGTGCGCAACTCCTCCTACATTTCTCAACGGATTTTTGACCAAACTTTCTCAGAAGCTTTGTCATCAAGTGCCCTGTCACATATTGCCAGGGTTTTGCAATTGGTATATATTTGACCTAATTATGGCCCATTGTTTTTTTTCCTTATATAGAATATATAGTGAACAATTTCTTCTGTGGCGCAACTCCTCCTACATTTCTCAACGGATTTTGACCAAACTTTCTTAGAAGCTTTGTTATCAAGTGCCTGGCACATATTGTCGGGGTTTTGTGATTGGATAATATTTGACCGAATTATGGCCCTTTGTATATTTTTTCCTTATACAGAATATATATAGAGAACAATTTCTTCTGTGCTCAACTCCTCCTACATTTCTCAACGGATTTTGACCAAACTTTCTTAGAAGCTTTGTTATCAAGTGCCTGGCACATATTGTCGGGTTTTGTGATTGGATAATATTTGACCGAATTATGGCCCTTTGTATATTTTTTTCCTTATACAGAATATATAGTGAACAATTTCTACAGTGCGCAACCTCTCCTACATTTCTCAATGGATTTTGACCAAACTTTCACAGAAGCTTTGTCATCAAGTGCCCTGGCGCTCACTAAATTCCCATGTTTCTTCCAAGACATCATTCAAGTATTTTTTTTAAATTGTGAACATACTTTTCTTGATATCGCACAAAACACCACACGCCAATATTGTTGACAAAAGAAAATGACAAGAGACGCAAAAATGCAAAAATTAAGCAAAAATAAAGTACTGTCTACCTTTCTAAAATATTTGGGAAAAAAAGGCGAATAGACAACATAAAATTTCTCAATCATTTTTGTTTGAGGAATATTAAAAAAGCCATAATTCCTCCTTAAAGTTCAATTAAAAACAAATGCCCCTTCATGACAAAGCTTCTGTGAAATATTTTGCTGAAAACCTGGTTGCATCGCATTGCGATGTTCCTTGTCTTAATTTTTTTTTGTATCATTTTATGCACATCTTCCAACGATATTTTCTTTTCATTTAAATCATTCAGTTGATTAACTGTCATTGGAAATGATGAACCAAACAAAAACGAAACTGTAAAATAATAATATATAGTTATTTATTTCATTTTTATCAAAAACAATGATTAAAAAAAAGGAATGCTTGAAATACTTCAGAATATTTGGAAAAAAAATCAATGGAAACAAAACCTTGCAATAAAATAGTTTTCCTCGTTGTCGCTCTCGTACCCTGTGTCATTCTGGAAAAAAAGAAAATTCTTATTTTAGAAAATAAAACATCTAGAAACGAATGCTTAAATAATCTACTGCTTTGTGGACGGATCAACATGGTAAACAAGCGTGCTAGACGGACGGACGAACAAGGACAAAACAAAATGTTACCCAATTCTCCCAAGCTAAATAAGGGCACAACAATTTTTTTCTAAATCTGCACGAGATTTACGCGTTTATACCCGACAATTTCTTATACTAATAACCAAAAAAAATGACTTTTAACTTTGGCTCACAATCATCTTGAATGATAAAATATCCTTGATAACATAATGATTAATTAATTAAATAATACAGAAAGTTTTAATGCATGAATACCTCTTTGTTCATATTATTCTTGGTGCGCTGCTTATCTGTCCCCTTCACTTTATCCATCACTTCGTCTTTGTGTTGACTTTCTTGAACCTTCTTAATTGCTGCATCAAGCCCTCTATACAATTCCTCCGACGACTTCATTGCTTTCTTTACTTCGGCAATTTTTCTTTCCTGCCACTCTCTTGCTTCGTTTTCTACGGCTCTTTTCCTTTCCTCCCACTGTCTCGCTTTCTTTTCTTCGGCTTTCTTTCTTTTCTGCCGCCTTCTTGCTTTTCTTTCATCAGCCTTTCTCTTTCTTTCTTCCTCTTTCCTCTGGCTAGCATTCATATCTGCATTCTGTGTAGTGTCCTCATACGAAGTTCGACTGTTAAAAAACCACGGCATAATTTCCACCCAGATACCATTTTGTAAAATATATACCTGTAATTGAAATTAAAGAAGGAGTATGAAAAATCATTATCATTTTTTATATATTACTTCTTGTACTTACAAATATACTAATTATAAGCCGGAGCTATAGGGCGCTTGAAAAATGTTGTACCTTCGATTATTGTTCGTAAACGAATTTAATAAAAATGAGAATATACGATTTTCAACTCGATGTTTTAACTTAAAATCTAGTGATCTTTCATTTCCAAAATTGTTTGTCTCATCAAAAACATTTAATTTATAGTTTTGTCTAATACGGAAAATGCTAATTATAGCACCAATTTAGATCGGCTCTTCGTGAATATTTTTTATAACACCTGACGAATTTTCTTCGTGTTTTTTTAGCGTAAACAAAATTTTCTACCAGCTAAAGATTGATAATGGTTTTGATTATCTTTATCATTGAAATCATTTATAATGTACATTATTTGGTAAATTTTAATACAAACAAAACTTAAATAGAATTGTAAAACATAAGAAATTACACCTACCCTGTCATGTATTAACGTAAGCATAACAGGCCCTAACCCCGGCACATACTGAAGTTCTGTCAATCTATTTCTTTGCTCCCAAATATAGCTCATTTTCGTGTCTTCCTCTGTTATCCGTTTGTACGTTACTGGTAACGACGACGTCAAACAATGACGTTAACATAATTATGACGTCACAGTCAATATTTTAGCGTCATGAAGTAAAATAATTCTGATTTATATAGAGGATAACAAACAAACAAATTTTCTTTTTATTTTATGCTTAAAAACATGTCAATAATAAAATTGAGGTACCACATGGGGAAAATCTTAAAAAGTTGTCTCTTCATTGAAAAGTTTGAAATTATATTTTGATAATGTTCACTGTGAAATTATCAAAATATATAATTTTCACGGATAAATCAGTAATCCACTGAAAAACATAAAATAAGATGTACATGGAGCTAAATATTTGTATTTATTATATACTTATAAATGAAATATTGAAAAATATTGATGCAATAAAATGCATATTTTCATTTTCCGTATTTTCACTGTAAAAATTATCTTTCACTGCAGCATAGAAACATATTTTTCGTATTTTCACTGGTGTCTTGCCGGACTACTTTCTCCTAAATTCAACCAATACACAAAATTAAAGGGGAATTCTTTAAAATCGTAAGGTCAAAAAAAAGAGAGAAAGTATAAAAGAAAAAGAAAATTCAAGTTTGTTTCTATAAATATGGGATTTATTTTCATCCCGTGATATGAAAATTATCATATTTCACTCGTGGCTATTGCCACTCGTGAAATGTTAATTTTCATACCACTCAATGAAAAGAAATCCTGTATTTATAGAAAAAACTTGAATATCCTCTCTATATATCTGTGAAATTATTAAGTAAATTAAAAAAATACTTTCTTTTTGCGAAAATCCATGTTTAAACGAAATCACGTATGTTAATAAGCGAAATGCATGATATATCTTCATTATTATTGCTTAAAAGCTCAATGATTCTTAGTGATAAATTAAATAATGTGGAACAGAAATGTTAGTACTTACATGAAAACAAGAACAATAATGTTGCAAGTCCTAATTAACTAATTGTAACTGTAATTTGTAGCTGGAAAAGATTAAAGGTGCATGCCTGCAGATGAGACAACTATTTCAAGATATCAGCCTTTAGTGAAATGTACTAAGATTATAAGAGAAGTAAAAATATGCAAGAAATAATTTACATGTTATATATGCAAATGATTACAGAATTTGCTGTATTTATCACAATATTCCTACCACGTGACTAACGCACTAAGGGCTATTTTTGCATAGTCTGACCTGTTTTAAGCTCATTTTCGTAGATTTTAAATGTTGCTTGCAACGTGTAAATTATTTTCATAGGTTACTTGACAATATTTTACTTTTGAACACATTTTAAAACTTTTCATGAAAATAAGCACTAATCGCAGCCTATCAGCCTGAAGTTGGCAGTCTACCAGCCTAAAGAAAATGAAGAATATTCTTAACATGAAAACGGTTGGAAATAAATTAAAAAACCCTTTTTTTAGATCATTCCACGCTTTTTTTTTCAATATTATGATCTTTATTTTTTCAAGATGCTGGACTTTACAGTTTTCATTCTGATGTTTCGAAATTTGTGAAGTTGGAAGCCTAGCAACCTAAAGAAAACTGAAAACGAATTTTGGCTGATAAACTTTATTTTCTTGAATATAAACCCCTTGCATATTGCACAGATTGTTGCCCAATTCATTCTATTCGCTTTGTTCTCTATGTTTTCATTGTCCTTTGCATTGTAAAATTTTCAAGAATTTGCAGCACTTAAGAAAATACTAAAATTCATTAATTTCACAACTAGAATTTGAAATTGAAGCCTAATTGAACCTTCCCTTGTTATGTTTTCCAGTAAAAGAGACAGAAATCATCTTGATCCCACAAATGAATTATTAACCTCTTTCCAAAAATCATGACAAACAAAAAACCAAAAACCACCATATATTCACGTCGCAACCCGCACAGCCATTTCATTTACGAGTCCTATATATTTATATAAAATGCATAGCATGCTTCATTTTCAAGATTAAAATTTATATCGATTCCTTATTGTATCTGAAATAACAGTTCTGTCATTTGGTTCACCTTAAAAAAACCTCAGAAATTATAATGACAAGAGCATAGATATGAAGCTTATATCACCATAATGCAGTCCATTACTAAGTTATTTAAATGCGGAGTTCCTGGAGGTTGGACAATTGTTAAAGGCTATTCTGAATGTTTTGAGGTTATACACTCCGCTATCCCTCAGAACTGATTCTTGACACGCCACTTCCTATGCACGACAAACGCTATACATGCCATAAGGCCAATAATGTCTCGACTGGCGTCATTTATCCTGCCTAAAGTAACACCGGCACCGGAGCTATCCCACTATGATTTGTTTCCAAATCTAAAAGAAATCTGTAGAGGAATTTGTAACGGTGATTTAGATGAACTCGGTGGTGCGGGACATCCACAGGCATTGCCTAGCAATCGGCATTCTGGCGTTGCCGCAGAGGTGCGAGTCTACCAAACGACATGGAAAAGATTATATTGAAATTTCGTAACATCAAACTACGGTGGCACAAAGGTAAGGTGGCACAAAGGTGACATGTGTGTGTTTTTATTTATCTCGTGGCCACGAGATACTATGTCGTGGCCACGAGTTACTAAGTCGTGGCCACGAGATAGCTAAGTCGTGGCCACGAGATACTATGTCGTGGCCACGAGTTACAAAGTCGGTGCCACGAGTTACTAAGTCGTGGCCACGAGATAGCTAAGTCGTGGCCACGAGATACTATGTAGTGGCACGAGTTACTAAGTCGTGGCCACGTGTTACTAAGTCGTGGCCACGAGATAGCTAAGTCTAGGCCACGAGATACTATGTCGTGGCCACTAGATACTATGTCGTGGCAACCAGTTAGCTGAGACGTGGCCACGAGATGAATAATCAATCAGATTACACCATTTATATGAATTTCACTAATTAACTAGACATATGATATAGTACAAGGATGCCTTCAAATCTTCAGTATTTTTCAAAGATTAATGTTACATGTAAGAGTAAGTTTAGTTTAAAAAAAATCATAATATATATATAGTGTATTCTGATTGGTTAATTAATTTCTTGGCCACGACTTAGCTATCTCGTGGCCACGACTTAGTAGACTCGTGGCCACGACATAGTATCTCGTGGCCACGACTTAGCTATCTCGTGGCCATCGACTTAGGAACTCGTGGCACGACTTAGTAACTCGTGGCCACGACTTAGTATCTCGTGACCACGACTTAGTAACTCGTGGCCACGACATAGTATCTCGTGACCACGACTTAGCTATCTCGTGGCCACGACATAGTATCTCGTGGCCACGACTTAGTGACTCGTGGCCACGACAAAGTATCTCGTGGCCACGACTAAGCTTTTTAGCATTACCTTGTGGTCTTCGGCAAAGGTTAAATAAATCATACATATAGGTCTAAACTGGTCATCCACGATGGTCACTTAATTTACCTGGACTTATAATTATATGAAACACAATATACTTGTCGAAAACTATACATGTACTGGAGCTTTAATATTAAGCATGTAGCATTTCCATATAAACCTCAACAACATGTCCATGCAGTCAGAAGAGTCGCTTGGACTTGTATTGAAAATAAATACCTTTCTTTGCTAGCACATGGTATTGAATATCAATGTGACCAAATGACTTATCTCTGCATTGGCTATCACTATCAAGGTTTGGGTTTTTTTCTTAATTTTTTTTTGTATCATTTTATGCACATCTTCGAACGATATTTTCTTTTCATTTAAATCATTCAGTTGATTAACTTTCATTGGAAATGATGAACCAAACAAAAACGAAACTGTAAAATAATAATATAATTTATTTATTTCATTTTTATCAAAAACAATGATTAAGAAAAAGGAATGCTTGAAATACTTCAGAATATTTGGGAAAAAAATCAATGGAAACAAAACCTTGCAATAAAATAGTTTTCCTCATTGTCGCTCTCGTACCCTGTGTCATTCTGGAAAAAAAGAAAATTCTTATTTTAGAAAATAAAACATCTAGAAACGAATGCTTAAATAATCTACTGCTTTGTGGACGGATCAACATGGTAAACAAGCGTGCTAGACGGACGGACGAACAAGGACAAAACAAAATGTTACCCAATTCTCCCAAGCTAAATAGGGGCACAACAATTTTTTTCTGAATCTGCACGAGATTTACGCGTTTATACCCGACAATTTCTTATACTTTTATATTAATAAAATAACCAAAAAAATGACTTTTAACTTTGGCTCACAATCATCTTGAATGATAAAATATCCTTGATAACATAATGATTAATTAATTAAATAATACAGAAAGTGTTAATGCAAAAATACCTCTTTGTTCATATTATTCTTGGTGCGCTGCTTATCTGTCCCCTTCACTTTATCCATCACTTCGTCTTTGTGTTGACTTTCTTGAACCTTCTTAATTGCTGCATCAAGCCCTCTATACAATTCCTCCGACGACTTCATTGCTTTCTTTACTTCGGCAATTTTTCTTTCCTGCCACTCTCTTGCTTCTTTTTCTACAGCTCTTTTTCTTTCCTCCCACTGTCTTGCTTTCTTTTCTTCGACTTTCTTTCTTTTTTGCCGCCTTCTTGCTTTTCTTTCATCAGCCTTTCTCTTTCTTTCTTCCTCTTTCCTCTGGCTAGCATTCATATCTGCATTCTGTGAAGTGTCCTCATACGAAGTTCGAGTGTTAAAAAACCACGGCATAATTTCCACCCAGATACCATTTTGTAAAATATATACCTGTAATTGAAATTAAAGAAGGAGTATGAAAAATCATTATCATTTTTTTATGTATTACTTCATGTACTTACAAATATACTAATTATAAGCCGGAGCTATAGGGCGCTTGAAAAATGTTGCACCTTCCATTATAGTTCGTAAACGAATTTAATAAAAATGAGAATCTACGATTTTCAACTCGATGTTTTAACTTAAAATCTAGTGATCTTTCATTTCCAAAATTTTTTGTCTCATCAAAAACATTTAATTTATAGTTTTGTCTAATACGGAAAATGCTAAATATAGCACCAATTTAGATCGGCTCTTCGTGAATATTTTTTATAACACCTGACGAATTTTCTTCGTGTTTTTTTAGCGTAAACAAAATTTTCTACCAGCTAAAGATTGATAATGGTTTTTATTATCTTTATCATTGAAATCATTTATAATGTACATTATTTGGTAAATTTTAATACAAACAAAACTTAAATAGAATTGTAAAACATAAGAATTACACCTACCCTGTCATGTATTAACGTAAGCATTAACAGGCCCCTAACCCGGCACATACTGAAGTTTCGTGTCAATCTATTTCTTTGTTCCCAAATGCAGCTCATTTTCGGTGTTTCCTCTGTTATCCGTTTGTACGTTTCTGGTAACGACGACGTCAAACAATGACGTTAACAAATTATGACTGTCACAGTCAATATTTTAGCGTCATGACGTAAAAATAATTCTATTTATATAGAGGATAACAAAACAAACACATTTTCTTTTTTATTTTATGCTTGAAAACATGTCAATAATAAAAACTGAGGTACCAAATGGGGAAAATCTCTTTTAAAAAAAGTTGTCTCTTCCATTGAAAAGTTTGAAATTTATATTTTGATAATGTTCACGTGTGAATTATCAAAAATATATAATTTTCACGGATAAATCAGTAATCCACTGAAAAACATAAAATAAAAGATGTACATGGAGCTAAATATTTGTATTTATTATATACTTATAAATGAAATATTGAAAAATATTGATGCAATAAAATGCATATTTTCATTTTCCGTATTTTCACTATAAAACTTATCTTTCACTGCAGTGAAACATATTTTCCGTATTTTCACTGGTGTCTTGCCGGACTACTTTCTCCTAAATTCAACCAATACACAAAATTAAAGGGGAATTCTTTAAAATCGTAAGGTCAAAAAAAGAGAGAAAGTATAAAAGAAAAAGAAAATTCAAGTTTGAATATATTCTCTATATATCTGTGAAATTATTAAGTAAATTAAAAAAATACTTTCTTTTTGTGAAAATCCATGTTTAAACGAAATCACGTATGTTTATAAGCGAAATGCATGATATATCTTCATTATTATTGCTTAAAAGCTCAATGATTCTTAGTGATAAATTAAATAATGTGGAACAGAAAATGTTAGTACTTTCATAAAACATGAAAAATAATTTTTGCAATCTAATTAAAAAATTTAACTGTAATTTGTACTGGAAAAATTAAAGGGGCTGCCTGCAGATAACAAAATTTTAAAAAATCAGCCTTAGTGAAAATTATAAAAATTATAAAAGGGAATAAAAAAATATGCAAAAAAATAATTTACTGTTTTAAAATGCAAATGATTACAGAATTTTCTGTATTTATCACAATATTCCCCACCATGACTAACCCACTAAAGGGGTATTTTTTTGCAAAGTCGACCCCTTTTTTAAACCCAAAATTTTTTAAATTTTAAATGTTTCTTGAACGTGAAAAAATTTTTATAGGGTTACTTGACAATATTTTACTTTTGAACACATTTTAAAACTTTTCATGAAAATAAGCACTAATCGCAGCCTATCAGCCTGAAGTTGGCAGTCTACCAGCCTAAAGAAAATGAAGAATATTCTTAACATGAAAATGGTTGGAATTAAATTAAAAAACCCTTTTTTTTTTTTAGATCATTCCACGCTTTTTTTTCAATATTATGATCTTTATTTTTTTTCAAGATGCTGGACTTTACAGTTTTCATTCTGATGTTTCGAAATTTGTGAAGTTGGAAGCCTAGCAGCCTAAAGAAAACTGAAAACGAATTTTGGCTGATAAACTTTATTTTCTTGAATATAAACCCCTTGCATATTGCACAGATTGTTGCCCAATTCCAGTATAAAGCTAAATTGTGAGCTTGTGTTTGCATGTTTGTCATTGTCCATAATTTCTTTAAACATTTAAAACCACATGGCAGATTTTGACCAAACTTCACTGGAATTATTCTTGGGCCGACAATGACCAGACTAGATATTTTGCATGAAGTATCAGTATTGCCTAATCGACCTGAACAAGTTATCTTCATCCCGCATTTGTCTCTATGTTTTCATAGTCTTGCATGTAAAAATACAAGAATTTGCAGCAACTAAAGATAAATATATTTCATTTATTTCACAACTAGAATGAAATTGAAGCCTTTGAACCTCTTGATGTTCCAGGAGAAATCATCTGATCCAAATCATTAATTAAACCTCGTTTCCATTTCCAGAGAACAAAACACCATATATTCACGTCGCAACCCGCACAGCCATTTCATTTACGAGTCCAATATATTTATATAAAATGCATATCATGCTTCATTTTCAAGATTAAAATTTATATCGATTCCTTATTGTATCTGAAATAACAGTTCTGTCATTTGGTTCACCTTAAAAAAAATCAGAAATTATAATGACAAGAGCATAGATATTAAGCTGATATCACCATAATGCAGGCCATTACTAAGTTATTTAAATGCGGAGTTCCTGGAGGTTGGACAATTGTTAAAGGCTATTCTGAATGTTTTGAGTCTATACACCCCGCTATCCCTCAGAACTGATTCTTGACACGCCACTTACTTTGCACGACAACGCTATACATGCTATAAGGCAAATAATGTCTGTAAAAGAAATCTGTAGAGGAATTTGTAACGGTGATTTAGATGAACTCGGTGGTGCGGGACATCCACAGGCATTGCCTAGCAATCGGCATTCTGGCGTTGCCGCAGAGGTGCGAGTCTAGTCTACCAAACGACATGAAAAAGATTATATTGAAATTTCGTAACATCAAACTTCGGTGGCACAAAGGTACGGTGGCACAAAGGTGAAATGTGTGTGTTTTTATTTATCTCGTGGCCACGAGATACTATGTCGTGGCTACGAGTTACTAAGTCGTGGCCACGAGATAGCTAAGTCGTTGCCACGAGATTCTATATCAATGCCACGAGTTACTAAGTCGGTGCCACGAGTTACTAAGTCGTGGCCACGGGATACTATGTAGTGGCCACGAGTTACTAAGTCGTGGCCACGAGTTACTAAGTCGTGGCCACGAGATAGCTAAGTTGTGGCCACGAGATACTATGTCGTGGCCACTAGATACTATGTCGTGGCAACGAGTTAGCTAAGACGTGGCCACGAGATAAATAACCAATCAGATTACACCATTTATATGAATTTCACTAATTAACTAGACATGTGATATATAGTACAAGGATGCCTTCATATCTTCAGTATTTTCAAAGATTAATGTTGCATGTAAGAGTAAGTTGTTAAGATTAAAAAAATCATAATATATATAGTGTATTCTGATTGGTTAATTATTTCGTGGCCACGACTTAGCTATCTCGTGGCCACGACTTAGTCACTCGTGGCCACGACAAATAGTATCTCGTGGCCACGACTTAGCTATCTCGTGGCCACGACATAGTATCTCGTGGCCACGACTTAACTATCTCGTGGCCACGACTTAGGAACTCGTGGCCACGACATAGTATCTCGTGGCCACGACTTAGCTATCTCGTGGCCACGACTTAGTAACTCGTGGCCACGACTAAGTATCTCGTGGCCGCGACTTTAGCTATCTCGTGGCCACGACTTAGGTACTCGTGGCCACGACATAGTTTCTCGTTGCCAAGATTTAGCTATCTCGTGACCACGACTTAGTAACTCGTGGCCACGACTTAGTATCTCGTGGCCACGACTTAGCTATCTCGTGGCCACGACTTAGGAACTCGTGGTCACGACATAGTATCTCGTGGCCACGACTTAGCTATCTCGTGGCCACGACTAAGTAACTCGTGGCCACGACAAAGTATCTCGTTGCCACGATTTAGCTATCTCGTGGCCACGACTTAGTAACTCGTGACCACGACATAGTATCTCGTGACCACGAGATAAATAAAAACAAACACACATGTCACCTTTGTGCCACCGTATCAAACTGTGAGTGAAACAAAAATCAAAAACTGACCCTCGCACGAAAAACGCATTAAAATTATTTTTGAAAGCAATTAAGCATAGCTTTAAACATGCGACTGGAGTCGTCTTTGTTATATTTTTTTCTGAAAGTTACTGTAGAATAAACATTATATATTTACTATTTTCCGTTATCTAGTTTCCTCGCACGGAAGAATCCATTGTCCTAATTGCAATTTAAAGTGGCAAGGGACAAGTGGTTTGACGTCTGCTACCTGAACCACTCGGCCAAGGAGGTCATTTTAGCATTATCTTGTGGTCTTAGGCAAAGGTTAAATAAATCATACATATAGGTCTATACTGGTCATCCACGATGGTCACTTAATTTACCTCGACTTATAATTATATGAAACACAATATACTTGTCGAAAACTATACATGTACTGGAGCTTTAATATTAAGCATGTAGCATTTCCATATAAACCTCAACTACATGTCCATGCAGTCAGAAGAGTCGCCTGGACTTGTATTGCAAATGAATACTTGCAAATATTAATCTTTCTTTGCTAGCACATGGTATTGAGCTTAAACATTTGACATCAATGTGACCAAATGACTTATCTCTGCATTTGCTATCTCATTATTCAGGTTCGGTTTTTTTCTTAATTTTTTTTTTGGTAGAACTATCATTTCATGCACATCTTCGAACGATATTTTCTTTTCATTTAATCATTCAGTTGATTAACTTTCATTGAAAATGATGAACCAAACAAAAACGAAACTGTAAAATAATAATATAATTTATTTATTTCATTTTTATCAAAAACAATGATTAACAAAAAAGGAATGCTTAAAATACTTCAGAATATTTGGAAAAAAATCAATGGAAACAAAACCTTGCAATAAAATAGTTTTCCTCGTTGTCGCTCTCGTACCCTGTGTCATTCTGGAAAAAAAGAAAATTCTTATTTTAGAAAATAAAACATCTAGAAACGAATGCTTAAATAATCTACTGCTTTGTGGACGGATCAACATGGTAAACAAGCGTGCTAGACGGACGGACGAACAAGGACAAAACAAAATGTTACCCCATTCTCCCAAGCTAAATAGGGGCACAACAATCTTTTTTCTAAATCTGCACGAGATTTACGCGTTTATACCCGACAATTTCTTTTACTTTAATATTAATAAAATAACAAATAAAATGACTTTTAACTTTGGCTCACAATCATCTTGAATGATAAAATATCCTTGATAACATAATGATTAATTAATTAAATAATACAGAAAGTGTTAATGCATAAATACCTCTTTGTTCATATTATTCTTGGTG